ATGATTCTGATTAACGTTTATACCTGAAATTTGGTTCTTAAATCTCTGCCTCGTGTGTGAATTAAAATCCCCGCGTCATAATCCAAAGTTATACTCATAGTATATATATATAGACTCTTAAAAAGATCCCTAGCAAAGGGTAGAGTTGAGTAGATGTAATATGATAGAAATTGCATGCAATTTATGCCTTTAAAATAATCCTTTGGACTAATGACCTTCTAGCCTAGCGTCATGGTACTCAAGTCATTATGTGAGGTTATGGATTCGATTCCGCTTGTATCCTCAAGTTATTACCACATACTCCTCTAACTCAAAATTTGAGAAAAGAAATTCCTTTGGGTAAGCCTATATCATTTTTTCTAACATGCCATCAGAGCATCTTTAGTACGATTTGGGATGCCTCCCCTTCCTATTACTTTATTATATGAGAAAAAAAAAAATGTAAGAACCAAATTTTAACATAATTGATATATACCACAACTACTTAAATCTTATTATTTTTTCAGGGGCTTACAAAACGCTTCAAGAAGATAAGAGGAGAGCTTGATCAATTGTTTGAAAAGATAATAAAAGAGCATGAACAAGCTTCTAACTCATACAAAGATGGGGATCATAAAGATTTCGTTGATATATTATTGTCATTGATGCATCAATACAAGGATGATGATGAACAAAACCATGAAATTACTCGAGATGACATTAAGGCTACATTACTATCGATGGTTATTGGGGCATATGAAACTTCCGCTATGACTATTGATTGGATTCTCTCTGAACTTTTGAGGAATCCAAGGGTGATGAAGAATCTACAAGATGAGCTAGAAACTGTGATCGGAATGAATAGAATGGTGAACGAGACGGATTTATCGAAGTTGAATTATTTGAACATGGTGGTCTTGGAGAATTTCAGACTTCATCCCATTGCACCATTCATCCCTCGATCATCCACACAGGATATTACGGTTGGTGGATACCATATAAAGAAAAAGTCACAAATCTTCATAAATTTATGGGCATTAGGACGAGATCCTAAGATATGGTCAGATAATACTGATGTGTTCTATCCAGAAAGGTTCTTGAATAGCAGCCCATCAAACCTTCAAGAATATGATCATCTACTTTTTTCATTCGGATCGGGTCGTAGAAAATGTCCGGGAATGCAGATGGGGTTAACCACAGTTAAACTTGTCACAGCTCAACTTGTGCACTGCTTTAATTGGGAGCTTCCTTCTGGGATGAAACATAGTGATTTGGACATGACCGAATCATTTGGCCTCACCTTGCAAAGAACTAAGCACTTGTCAGCTATGCTATCTCAGCGTCTACCTTTTAATAAGGTTTACAATGAATGAAATTCATGTAATTTTAGGGCCTTGGGACAATGAATATGGTGTATATATTGATGTAAATAAATAAATGTTATATAGAAGTTATGGATATGACTATTTAACGCTGAACAGAGATATTACAAAACCACTTAAGCATCCAAATACTTAGATTACAATAATGTTTCAGAAAAATAACACCATTAAACTCACAAGGATGGTAGCTAGCCCGTTGTATCTTCTTAGGTTCAATTCTTCATCTTTATTGACTTTGAATATTGGATTTCTTTTGTTCTTATTTTGCATGTGTCATTCTCCCACGTTATTTTTCCAACGTTATTTTTCCTTGGGTCTCAACGACTAGTTTCCTCTTTAACAATTGTCACCTAGTTGCTCCTTGTTTATATTTCTGTAATAAAGACAATTTTTCCCAATTATTCACGATTCCTTTTCCTAAAATATCATGGATACTAGTTAAATTCTATATTTTCTATTTTCCCCCTTTTAATTCGTTGGTCTCCTTCTAAGATTATGTTACCTCTGGTGTTAGATATAACAATTAGTTGAAGATTGAATTTGGTCATAAATATGAAACCTTAACCCATTTTGACTCTCAAATTTATCATTTTTTTCCTAAAATATTCTTATTGATTATAAAGAGTTTCCACCAAGAGATTCCTAGTGCATATGATCAAAGAGAGTAATTTAGAAAACTCAATACAGATTTGTTACAATTAACCAATTTAATTAATATTTCAAGTTAACTATCTAGCTCTTATGTTAAAGATAATAGATCACGTAATATATAAGGGCATGTACGTATACGCCCCTCAAGTGATTTATTTCGCAGATGAATTATTTGACTACCATAAAACATATCTTCCCACTAATTAAGGATTAGTCAGATCATACCATTGATGAGCATGTGGCGCCAGCTGCTCTAGGGGGACTTAACAAGTTACGTGTTTTTTAATTGATTTAATTATTTTAGATCAAATTATTTTATGAATCTCTCATCAATATGATAACTCCTACACAAAGAGCCAAGTTGCTCCTCCAATTAAAAAATATTTTTTATTTCTTGCCAAAGACCTTTTTATATATTGTGTAGTTTTTGTTTGCGGAGACGTAAGAACCATTAATTATTTATTACATTAAGTTTTGGTTAGGCACATAACTGCTAATTAAATTAGATTGCTTCAACTTTGATGCTGGGTTAGGTAGAAGGTCTTAATCATGCTGAAAGTCAGAGGTTAAATATTTTAGCCACTCATTTCTTAATCGTTTTATATAACGTGATATGGTTTGTGTGTGTGTGTGTGTGTGTGTGTGTGTGTGTGACTAATGGAGCATATACGAATTGGCTATACTGCTTTGTTGAAGAGAGTGTGGTTTTATTTGAACGTTTATGTAACCAATTATATTTATATGTAAATAATATATACCATTATGGCTTGGTTGATATGAAACTCTTGTTACTGTCCAGGTTACAAAAGCATATATATGTAACTTGTTATGTCTCATCTAAATTAAAATCAACATGCACCCATCGTTAATGGAGATCTAGTTGTAAAAACTTTAAGGCATATTTTGAATGTTTCATCATCGAGAATCTATATAGAATTATATTTTCCCCCACAAAAACAGTTGAATATATAGAGAAACATATGATCATAAAGCATAAGCAAAAAACAAGAAGTTAAAGATCCGCAGAATCTTGCAGTCCCAGTTAATGATTCTTGCCAAGCGAATTCATTCTGCCCTTTTTCTTTTTTCGATAACACGAGAAACTAAACTGGGCTGCGTCGCTCCCTTTCAGTGATCTGCTCAAAGTTCCATAGGAGCTTGCACCAAGTGAATTCATTCTAATATGTTATATTGGCGCCATGTGAAGAAACTAAACGTCCAACATCTTTTTAGTGCTCCAAAATTCAAATCAAGAGTTGATTGGTCATGGGCTTTTAGAAGATATAGTTTAAAAGATTATATTGGGACGGAATAAGGATGACAAATTTCATCTGAAGGGGCTCTTTTCTGAGGATTTGAAATTGGCTGGAGCATTTAATCTTGCTGATATTGTGCCTTGGTTAGGAGCATTCGATCTACAAGTGTGTGTCTGTGTGTGTGTGCATGATGTTTTAAATGAATCACAATCACATGATCTTTTTAATGATTTGATCAACGTCTGTGAGTTTATAAATCCCTGTGTGCATAATCCAAAATCTCACTAATAATAGATAGAAACTAGTGCCTCCTATTAGTCATGCTAACCATCCATTTCAGTATTTCACACACACATATTATCACGTAGCACACTCTGGGAAGCAATATTTTAAATCCCGAATCAGTCACTGAATTGGGCAAGAGACACTAAAGGATCAACGGCTGGACAGATATGAAGATCCTTCTTCTCGATCCAAATATTAATCCATTATGATGTTTCATTTCACGGTTTGACCGTGCTCCTTATGTATATATTTTTTGAAAAAGAAACTAATGAATTACACTCCTTAGTTATATTTTAAAATCAATAATATTTAGGCATTGTTAGCAAGCTAGATAGCATGTGTAAATCATGTTACCTCCAGTCCTTAATATAAGAATTAATTTGGATTCTAAATATAATATCCTGATTTACTTTGTCTTTCATATTTATCTTTTTTTTTTTTAAGATTGTCCTTATAGTAATTGCACATGTTAAAAGTCTTATCAAATAGTAATTCTAGCTAACTAATACATATGATTAGCAAGGATATTTGAGGGAAGACAACACATATTAGTTACAAATAACTAATTCAATTAATTTTTTAATCTATTTAAATTAATTAATTAGTTTTTATATTAAGGATAAGTGGAGTAGGTACAGAAAGTGCCATTCATTTCAATAACGTTTTGGGCGCGTGACTTCTCTGTTATTTATTACAAGGCATCTTTAGACCTTCTAAAGAGAAATTGTGTTTCATTTTATAAGTTATCTTTCAAATTTAAATAATACTAGGAGAAATATAATGTTAATAGTAATGTCGTTTTTAAATTTCTGTGACAAATAAAAAAAATTACTTGGCTCTTCCATGCATGAGAAATTGCGGCTGAGAAATAATTAATCCCCCTTTTAATCGAAATTGAGATTTTAATTTGAAAAACCAAATCTTGAATAGCAATAATTTATGATGAATCAAGACATTAAGATAGTCAAATGTGTTATTAATCAAAGCACATTTGAAAAGATTGAATGAAATGTTCTAAGAATATTAACTATCTATATATAACTGTCTTTTCTTTATTTTTGTAAGATGATTAAAGGTATTTGTGCGATATGTTAGGGATAACCTATACTACATGTAACTAACGTAATGATAAGTACATAAAGCAGCATTGATTTTCTTTATTGTAATTATTTTGTGTGCACGCACAAGCGAGTGAGTTAATTAATTATCCCAAAAATATCATAGAAAAGCTTATATACACTTTTACCTTGTCAAACAATCATTTCTAGTTTGTTGATTGGGTCGACAATAGATATTAGAGATCATCATGTCCTGTTGCCGTATCCAAATGGGGATCCAAGCATTCACAAAGAAACAAAATTAAAGGAATTATTTTCATACTCCCTATAATTTGCTATATATGCCTTCTCATCTGGTGCATTATGATCATACCCATCATCTAGCCTCCGACTTTCCACTTTCAGATCATTATATATCAAACTATATATCCAACATGATTCCTTCCACATTAGCCATTCCTGCAATTTTCCTTTTAACCTTGATTTACGCTCTTACTATCTTCTTGCGCCCAAACAAAATTGCTCAGAAACGTCCTCCAGGTATTTACTTACCATGGACTTAATTATATTTTCAGGTTTTATTAGTTGAATCTAGGAACAGATGATAGCTTTTTCCTTCTTACCTTCTTATTAGGATTAATCTTTCCTTTTTATCACTTACAAATTTTCATGATGCATCATTAGGACCTCTGGCTTTTCCTGTCATTGGAAACCTTCACTTGTTAGGCAAATTACCACATCGCAGCCTTCAATCTTTGGCCAATAAATATGGATCCATCATGTTGGTGTGGCTGGGACTTTGTGGTTTCGTCCTCTGAAGCTGCTGAGCTGTTTCTCAAGACCCATGACCCTGCTTTTGCAGACCGTCCGCAGACTCAGGCCAGTGATTACATATTTTATGGCTCTAAAGATATAGTCTTTTCTAATTACGGTTCATATTGGCGTTACATGAAGAAAATAGGCGTCCAATATCTTTTTAGTGCTTCAACGCAAGAGTTGATTGGTCATGTGAGGAGGGAGGAGTTAAAAATGGTGTTGAAGTCACTGGAGAATGCTGCTAAGATGGGTGGGGTTGTGGATATCAGTGAGAAAGTGCATGGGCTTTTAGAAGATATAGTTTATAAGATCATATTGGGATGGAATAAGGATAGCGAATTTGATCTGAAGGGGCTCGTTTCTGAGGCTTTGAGATTGACTGGAGCATTTAATCTTGCAGATATTGTGCCTTGGTTAGGAGCATTTGATCTCCAGGTATATATGATGTTTTAAATGAATAACATGGTTTGATTAACGTTTTTATATCCGAAATTTGCTTGCAATTTACGGCATTGAAGTAATCCTTCGGGTAAGCCTCTCTTAGTCTTTCCAACAAGCCATTAAAGTACGCCTAGTAGGATTGAGTTACCCCTCTCATCCTATCACTTTTTTTAGCTGACAAGAACTAAAAAACATGTAAGAACCAAACTTTAACATGATATGTAATGCAACTATTTAAATCTTATCGTTTCAGGGTCTTGCAAAACGCTTCAAGGAGATAAGCAGAAAGATTGATCAATTGTTGGAAAAGATAATAACAGAGCATGAACAAGCTCCTAACTCATACAGAGGCGGTAAACATAAAGATTTCATTGACGTAGTATTGTCATTGCTGCATCAATCCCAGGATGATGAACAAAACCATGAAATTACTCGAGATAACATTAAGGCTGCAACGCTATCTATGATTGCTGGGTCATATGAAACTTCTGCTGTGACTATCGAATGCACTCTATCTGAACTTTTGAGGAACCCGAGGGTGATGAAGAATCTACAAGATGAGCTAGAAACTGTGGTAGGAATGAATAGAATGGTGAACGAGACAGATTTATCAAAGTTGAATTATTTGAACATGGTGGTCTTGGAGAATTTCAGACTTCATCCTGTTGCACCGGTCATTCCTCGAGCAGCCACAAAGGATATTACGGTTGGTGGATACCACATAAAGAAAAAGTCACAAATCTTCATAAATTTATGGGCATTAGGACGAGATCCTCAGGTATGGTCAGATAATACAGATGTGTTTTACCCAGAAAGGTTCTTGAATAGCAACCCACCAAACCTTCAAGAATATATGATCGTCTACTTTTTTCATTTGGGGCTGGTCGTAGAAAATGTCCTGGAATGCAGGTGGGTTTAACTACAGTTAAACTTGCCATAGCTCAACTTGTGCACTGCTTTAATTGGGAGCTTCCTTGTGGGATGAAACCTAATGATTTGGACATGACCGAATCGTTTGGCAGTACGTTGCAAAGATCTAAGCACTTGTCAGCTATGCTAACTCATCGTCTACCTTCTAATGTTTATAAGGAATGAAATTCATGTAATTTTAAGGGAGAATTGCAATAAAGTCCTAAGGATGAAACATAATTATTACAAAGTCTCAATGATAACTGAGTAGATTGTAGTGACAAGTTTCAGAATAGGTAATAATAAGTTCTCACTTGTTATTGATATTTTTTAGTGGTTATTTCCTTTTCATGGAACTCTATTGCAGTTGTCCCTAATGTTATTTGATTATATAAGATACTACTTCCGGTTCTTAATATAAGAGTTTGTTTGATTTTTAATTTAATCCTAAATATAAGATCCCAATCCACTGTCTTTCATACTTATCTAATTTTTTTTAAAAAAAGTAGTCATTATAGTACGTAATCGCACGTATTAAATATTTCATCAAATGATAGTTTTAGCTAATATATTTGATTAGTAAGGGTATTTTAAGAAAAACAACACATATTTATTATACATAACTAATTTAACTAATTTTCTTAATTCATTCAAATTAGTCAACTAACTCTTATATTAAAAACTGGAGTTAGTAGTACATTAGAAAATGAATATTGTATATGAGAGTGTTTTGTGTGCTAATGTATTTTCCAGTTTTAGTCTTCCCTGCACAAAGTAATCAGATAAAATCAAGGGATGGAGATGAAGAGAATCAAGCAGCACCACAAAATTATGATGGCTTGATCACGCCCAGTCCTCTGTAGAATGCTCAAGATTTTTTCACTATAATAATCGAATCACAATTTAATTCCTACAAGTTCTTACGCCAAGTTCACCTGCAAATTATTACAATATTCTTAGGTCCCGTTTGGTACGAAACATTAAAAATAAGGGATTGAGATTGAGATTGTAATTGAAAAAAATCATTAAAATAGTATTTAGTATAAGTAATTGCTTATTACATGGGACTAGGCAACCCAATAGGAGTGGGATTAGAAAATACCACTTTTCCTCATAGTATTTCCCTCATGGTTTAGCTAATCCCATATAACAATCAATCTCTTATAATAAATACTCTTTTAATATATTTTTTTAATCCTAATTTCTATCCTTAATTTTTAATGTTTCTTATCAAACACAACCTTGAGGTTTTCGCATATTTCACCTAAAGCTAGCACATCAGATTTCTACACGTACGACTCATCCAGAACTAGGTGGGAGGATATGATTTTTTTTTTTTTTTTGCATGTTGGGAGGATATGAATATAACTAACTGAAAAGGCTCCAGTAGTACATACAAAACAAAACCACTTGAGCACAAATTAAAGAGTCAAGTTCGCTCCTCCAATTTTTTTTTGAAAAAATATTTTCACGCAAATGACCTTTTTATTTATTGTGTTGTTTTATTTTCGGATATGTATTATAACCATTAATTCCTATTAATTCTTCGCTGGGCACATTACTAAATTAGATTTCAAGTAAGTCCAATGTGACATTGATGTTGGGTTAGGTGAAAGGTCTAAATCATGCTGAAAGCCATAGGCTAAATATTTATTAATCATTTTACTATTTTCAGTCCTAAATATAGGGTTTATAATCAATGATTTATAGAATTATTTCCACCCACATGAACAGTTGAGCATAGACACGGATGATAATAAAGCACAAACAAAGGAAATGAAACAAGAGTTAAAGATATGTACAATCTTGCAGTCCTATAGTAATAATGACAGTGTTTAAGAGTCTTCCACTGATGATGGGGGATTTTAAATACTTTGTATGTAGCTATTAATTTAGAGTATGCCGTACAAAAAAGTTGCCCCCTTTAGCCTTGAAAAATATAAAGCATCTCACCAAATAAGCCCATCCTACATTTTCTCCATGGTGGGTTAGGTTACTTAACTCATATCACGAGCAAATCATGCATACGTTGAAAGGCAAACATAGCATATTCAATTATTGCCCCCAAAACGTAAGTAGAATCCAATGACATCTGAGTCAATATAAATCACTATATATATACGTATAGATATATAATGGGTCCATTTCTTCATTGCAAATTATACATCAAGCATGTTTCCTCCAACAGTGGCCATCCCTGCATTCCTTCTTCTGACCTTCATCTGCATTCTTTTTTCCATCTTCTTGCGTTCAAATAGTAATCACAGCAAAAATGCTAGGAAACATCCTCCAGGTACTTGTCATTTGAATTATTTCTTCTAATTTTACTCAGCGTTAATAATATTTCTCTTTCACTTTCTATACACATCTATATATAGGTCCCCTGGCTCTCCCCATTATTGGCAACCTGCACTTGTTGGGCACACTTCCACATCGCAACCTTCAATCTCTGGCCAACAAATATGGACCCATCATGTACTTAAGGCTTGGACAGATCCCAACCATTGTGGTCTCTTCACCTGAAGCAGCCGAACTATTCCTCAAGACCTATGACCCTGTTTTTGCAAATCGTATTCATACTCAGGCCACTGATTACCTATTTTACGGCTCCAAGGGTGTGGCCTTTTCCGAGTATGGTTCATACTGGCGCGACATGAAGAAACTGAGCATCCAACATCTTTTCAGTGCTTCAAATCACGAGTTGTTTGGTCATCTTAGGGGGAAGGAGTTAAGAATTATGGTGAAGTCACTGGAGAATGCTGCAACAATGGGTGGGGTTGTGGATATCAGTGAGAAAGTGCATGGGCTTTTAGAAGATATAGTTTATATGATGATATTGGGACGCAATAAGGATGATCAATTTGATCTGAAATTGCTCATTTCTGAAGCTTTGAGATTAGCTGGAGCTTTTAATCTTGCAGATGTTGTGCCTTGGTTGGGAGCATTTGATCTCCAGGTATGATGCTTTAACTGAATAACATGAACCGTTTAACATATGAAATTACTGCCATTTCTTAATTTTTATTCCATTGTTTAGAGCTTTTTCATAGCATAGTTTTTATTTTTATTTGAAAAGAAGGGATTGGATTGAATTTAATTTATTACACCTAAATCTGGAGGACTACTAGCCTTTGTGGAATTGAGTGGGGTTCTATTGGTCTTCCCAATATGCCATTGGCACCTTGCTAGTAGCAAGTAGGATAAGGGGCTCTGCTCCTTCCTAATGCATTTCTTTATTGGGAAAAGAAGATTAAGATCCAAGTTGTACTATCGTTTATATATATAATGAAAATATTCAAAACTTACTGTGTCAGGGACTAAGACATCGATGTAAGGAAATAAGCAAAGCACTTGACCAGTTGTTTGAGAAGATCATAAAGGAGCATGAGGAAGCTCGTAACAGCCACAAGGATGGGAAAAATGAAGACTATATAGACATACTACTCTCGCTAATGCATCAACCCATGGATGACGAACAAACTCATCAAATTACTCGAGACGACATCAAGGCCAATATACTATCTTTGATTTCTGGGGCATACGAGACTTCTGCTATTAGTGTCGAGTGGACTCTATCTGAACTTTGCAGGAATCCAAGGGTGATGAAGAATCTACAAGATGAGCTAGAAATTGTGGTTGGAATGAACAGAATGGTGGAAGAGATGGATTTATCAGAGTTGAATTACTTGAACCTGGTGGTGAAGGAGAATTTCAGACTCCATCCTGTTACACCATTCATCCCTCGAGCATCAGCAAAGGATGTTATGGTTGGTGAATACTACATAGAGAAAAAGTCACGAATCTTAGTAAACTTATGGGGACTAGGACGGAATCCTCAGATATGGTCGGATAATGCTGATGTGTTTTATCCAGAAAGATTTTTGAACAATAATATAGATCTGCAAGGACATGATTTTCAATTCCTGCCATTTGGTTCAGGACGCAGAAAATGTTTTGGAATGCAACTGGGTCAAACTACAGTTAAACTGGTGGTAGCTCAACTCGCACACTGCTTTAATTGGGAGCTTCCTTCTGGGATGAAGCCTGATGATTTGGACATGAATGAATCATTTGGCCTCTCGTTGCCAAGATCTAAGCATTTGTTAGTTGAGTTAACTCGTCGCCTGTCTTCTAAGGTTTATGATTATGGGGAACATGATATATAATACTCCCCTCGACGCACCAATTCAAGGATGATGAAACAAAACCATGGGATTAGTTGAGATTACATCAAGGTTAATTACTGTACTATGACTAATATTGGAGCATATGAAGCCACTGCTCTGTTGAAGACTGTGGTTTTTATTTGAACTGTTATATACAGTGAATGATATTTGTATCTAAATAATACTTCTGTTTGTTGGTTGATATGTGACTCTTGTTGTTATTCTGGTATAGAAATTAAAAATATATATATACACACACACTCCTCCGGTCCTTAATATAGGACCCAATTTTTGAATTGGTTTTGATCCTAAATTTAAAACCCATTTCTCATATTTATCAATTTTCTCTAAATTACCCATATAGATACTCCCTCAACCGTAATCAAGTAGAAGAGGGAGAAGGGTATTAAGAAAGATGATTATAGTGTTTTAGGAAAAATGTGTCACTTTTCTTATAATTAACTAACTTACCTAACTTCTTTATTCTAATCAAATTAGTTAAATGAATCGTATATTAAGAATCAGAGGAATATGTATTGTTGTGTATGTAAAGGGATGTGTCAAAAGTGAAGTCCCACATTGCCCAAGAGAGAGGGAACTCAAGTGTATAAATACTATCACACATTATTAGGCTAGTGAATGGGCTAGAGGAGAAGGAGAGTCTCATGCACACAACAACAGCCCACCAGGAGGGAAACGTAGTTGAAAATTGGCGATTCCCCTCCTGCGCGCGAATTAGAACAGTACTAGCAATGGTGTTAAGAGAGCTTATCAGAAAATCCTTTTTTTGACCGTTTATTTTTGTAACAGCCGAATGTTACTGAATGTTGGGAGTTTTCAAACATGATTAATCATCCATTAATCCTTAAACTGTTTCTCATGGATTAATGTCTGGTAACGTCTAAAATTTATTTCTTAAACATACCCAACGTTCATAACCGACGGTATAATTACAGATTAATGCAGTAATGTATGAAACCGACGAGTTAATCGTGTTTATGATGGTACCCAACAGTTAGGTCCCCGAGGCCTATATAAAGTGGTCCAGGACAGTGTGTTTTGCACCCCGCTCTCGAGCTTTCGAGCATCTGTTTCTCCTTTGCATTTCTCTTCTTCCCTCTCTGTGTTTCTGTGGTGTTGGGTTATATTTTTCTACTGTTCTGTCACCCTGTTTTCTGCAGGAAGGGTTCGTTTAATCCTGGGGAGTGCCGCAGTCACATTTACCTACGGTGGCGGAATAACTCTTAAGGACAATGTCTGCCGGCACGACTCGAACCTAGCTGATACATACCTCCAGTTTGCTCAACATGTATGTATGTAACTTGTTTTGTCTTATCAAAAAGTGCCCATATCATTTCATTAATTGGAGACCTTATTGTAACTAAAGGCATTTTGAAAGTTTCATCAATAACTTATACAATTATTTAATTGCCCCCACAAAAACAGTTCATCATGGGCACGCATGATCAGAAATCACAAACAAACGAAACGGAACGAAAAGTTAAAGATATACAGAATCTTGCTGTCTCTTCCATTAAAATCATGGCCAAATTAACGGACCAATTACGTATAAACAAGTTGAAGATATATTCTCCCCTTATATGTCACCTCACGCATTTTTTTTATTTTTTTTTATTTATAAAGACATATTTAAAAATAATTATATTTCTAATATATTTATTATTTTTAATTAATTTTAACTAATGATTCGTTATTTATAAATTAGTTATTTATAACTTACAATAAAGACACGAAAAAGTATTAAATAATAAAAAGATGTAATAGTTGAAATTCATGCTTGATATTTCATCGCGCGTGAGACAGAACCATTCCCACACACACACACACACAAAAGACGTTGAGATCGAGGACACAAACAAGGACGAAGCAAAGTTACCTGGCATTTTTATCAAAATACCGTAAAAAATAAAAATAACTATCCAAATACTGCTCTGCGTGAACTATGTGCGAAAATGCTGCATTTTGAGAAACTCATTTACACTGTGATTAACACTCTCACATTTATTTTTTAAAATAAATGAGTTCAGCTTTTTCCTTTTCATTTCTGGAGCAAATTACAACTAAATACCCATCTTACCAGTTTTTCGGCCGAAAACTTGCCCTTTGAATTTTTAAAAAAATTATAATTAATTACCCCTTTTTTTTATGTCCTCTCCTTCCCTCTCCCCTTTATTCTATATTTTTCTTGTCTTATTTACAAGATAGAAAGAGAATAAACTTTTTAGTTCCATTTATAAGACATGAGAAAAAAAAATTTATATGAATATACAATTTTATCCTTTAATTATTATTGTGTTTATTTTGTTTATATGAAATATAAGGATAAATTTGTAAAAGTTTAAAGTTTTTCTTAATATGTATAAAATATGTTGAAAATGATTTATAAATAAATAAAACAAGAGGAGTATCTCCTTCCAAATAGAAAAAATATGTGTAGATTTGGTAGAAAAATTACTTTTTACTTAATACTTAAATTTAAGAAAAATAAATAAATTAAATTCATATAAAATATTTATATATCTTCGCTAATATATTCAAAATGGTTCAAAAATTAATATCTGCTGTATGAAAAATTTTACGGCGGATATTGTGATAAATACATTGCAATAAATTTCACCACCAATAAAAAGACTAATAGATTACCTCACCTCAACTAAATTTAATTAAAAAATAACAAGAGGAAAAAATTTACTCTATATACTCCAAAAAAGCATCGAGTTATTTAGATATATGTGATTAAAAAATAGGAAACACTTCGTTTAAAAAATAAATACAAAACTAGGCCTAAATGGTTTGCTAATACTCAAAATAATGATAATTTAACTCCAACTACCAAACTCTATTAGTTTTTCATCTATGATTTCGATTATCACTCTGTAGAGTAATCGCAACCCACACCTAAAAAGGGGATCTACCAATGGGAATGGAGGAAAAAAAAAAAAAAAAGGGAAACGAAAACAAGCATCCAATTTGGATTTTTGAAACCAAGGAAAACTAAAAGTCACTTGTTTTCAAAACCTATTGTGGCATTTGAAAATCAATATTCTCAATTTGCTCATTAATATTGATTCTTCAATCTACTTTCTCCATAAGCCCAAGTTTCTCTGTTTTGAAGCATAAAATGCATAGTATGATCCTCCTATAACAATATCAAATTGCCCCCAGTAAAAAGGATTTTGTGAGGCTAGATACTGATTGACCTATATTTGAAAATGGTTTTGGTTTGGTGTGATCATGGTGAATAGCCAAAAGGCTTCTCCATATGAAATTGTGTAATTATCGTCTGTTATTATAGAATTTTTTAACTTTGATAATTGATTAAGAGACTGGTTGAGATATTACCTGTCTCTTAATTTTGAAAATCTTCCCAAATATTTTTTGTGAGCTTCTTTTCATTATTAGATTCTATGTAAAATAAGTGACATTTTGATATCATACTGACAAAAAATGGTTTAGTTTTCATTTTTTTTAATGATTTTTTAAAGATTTAATAATTCAAACTGACAAATTTCACCCCAACTCTTAAAGGACTGTGTTGCGTTGTTACTTTTAATTAATTTCATGAATTGAAAAGCTATCGGTGCTTTTAACATTAAGCTAGAAAGAGACTGGACATGAACTTTTAGATAATTTTAATGTCTTTGATGATTCCTTACATTTTCTATATGAGAAACAAATGATGAGGTACTCTCAAAGATACTTCTGGTGTTCGTTTTTTCTTCTTTGTGAATAAAGGATTCTCACTTTTCCCCCATAGTAATATTTTTACGTAAAATTAATCAATTTTTTAATTAATTTGATAGATATTAAAAATTAGATATACTTTATATAATATTAATTAATGTAATAATATTACTTTATGATTAATTTTTTAGAATCAGCTCTTGTCCTCTGTCTCTGTGATTTCGGTGAAAAATATCGAAACTAAGTTAAAGAGACCAAATGCAACATTTTCCATCGGTTAAAAAATTAGGTCAAATTTATTAAATGCTAAAAATTTTATTATCTTTCAGAATTTTCCTTAAAACGTTTTTAAAATCGAAAAAAATTTCCCTATGAGAGATATGGATGGAGTTGTATATTTTAAAATGAGGCCATATTATTTTATTAAATTTTGAAAAGAATTCTATATCTATATATAGAACTATAAGAAAATAGTTTTTTAGAATTAAAGAAAGCATATGATAAAAAAAAAAAAAACTATAAGTGCCTATAAAATAGTTTTTATTTATTGGAAAACTAAAAGTGAACCCCAAGTTAGTTTATATGAAAATTAAAGGTGAAACAAAAACTACAACACTCAACAAAACAAGTTGCTACATAGAGAAAATCAGAGGCGGAATCTACCTAATTTATATGAAACCAAAAATGAAACAAATTTGAAGGCTGAACAAAACAAGCTGTTTTATTGAAAAAAATCATAGGCGAAATCCACATTAATTTATACAGAAACCAATTACTTACCAAAACAAAGTATTTAATACTAGGGACCCAAATTTTATACCTTAATTTTCTTCGCCTACCCCAATCATTTTATATAATACACAGTAAACCTCAATGCCTCACAAACATAACCTTCTATCCAACTTCATTCCAACCCATTATTTTCTTCCTTTCTCTTTGTTCAATATAGGCAAACATAAAATCATCCTCCATTAAAACTTTTTCGGCATTCCTTCAAAATGGTTATTGATCTTTGTTTCATATTGAAGCAAATGATCATAAACATACTAAACATGGTAACAGCATCATATCATTCTTGCGATTTTGTATCCCTCATTGATGTTCAAACTTCGAACATATCATTTTACTCACATTCTAAACATTAACTTGTGTTGAAGCCTATTTGATCCTGAAGGTGGGAACAGATAATGTGATGAGAGATTTGAATTTCTGAAAACCCCACATTATACCTGTACATCATGATAAAGGATCTGACATCGGTGCTTCTGAGGCAGCATGGTTGGCACCATCATGCATATTTCTTTCAAGCATTTGGTTTTGAGCTGGTGGCGATGCCGAGAATGATCCATATCTTAGAAAGGCATTAGCTGGGTTTAGAGTTGGAGGCTATGGAAAGGAATACAAGTTTTGTATAGAGAGAGCTTAATAGACAAGGACCATAAATTTTTGAAATTTGTAATTCTTCTAATGGTTGGGTTAATTCCTAGTTGCATGTGTATGGAAC